TGAATGATCAAGAGGATGGTCTATAGGGTAGATGTTACCTCCGTCGCTAGCGGGATCATCACCAGCCAAATCCATCTCAGATGCTCGCGGATCTGCACACGGCTTGTGGGCTAGTCTCTTCCGCCTAGCAGCTAGGACAACAATCGAAGGTCTCGCCTGAGTAAAAGGACGGAATTCTTCTTCAGCCACTGTCCCTGAAACATCAAACAGTTGTCAAGATTAATAACTCTGGAAGACAGAGGGAAAATATAGGTGATTAACCTCGCTCGAAATATTCCTCGTAATCTTCAGGATCTCCGCCTGAGGCCTCTTCAACAGAATTGAAGGTCTTTTTTCCTTCTTCGTCAATTCGACGAGTCTTGCTCCGCGTCCTCTGTGACTGAGCATCTTCCCGAATCACATGAGAATCAGCCTGAGAAGCCTCCTCAGCCACTAACTCTGCAATCGGCTTCACGGGGACGGGTTTGTTAGCTGCTAACAACTGCCTGCAGCTTAAGAATGTGAGCTTTAACTGACGCTCAGCACTCGGGAGGCTGAACCAGACCAAACCAGGATGAATTAGTCTGAACCAGGCTAAACCAGTCTTGAACCAGTCCTGAACCAGTCTTGAACCAGGTTGAACCAGTCTTGAACCAGGTTGAACCAGTTCTGAACAAGTTTGAACCAGATTTGAACCAAAATTCAAATTGGAGCTGAGAATTCAAATTGGAGCTAAATTAAGCATCGAAACGAATTCAGATCAATCAATGGTTCGATCCCTCACCTAGTTAACCCCTCTCCCACATATTGGGAAGGGTCAGAAAGATTTTGAGCCCAAATACTGCCTTTTTTGAGACATCTTTGGACCGGTTCTGATCATTTGAGCACGGATTTACTCCAATAAGGTATACGAGTATAAACTATTCCCTATTTTTGTTGAGAAGTTTCTGGAGAGTATTTTTCTAAAAATATTCTTAAGGATAACTCAACAACACTCCGAAAAGTATAAAAGTATAAACTACTTCTCAAGACTCCAGCAGACATACGAGTATAAACTGTGTCAAACGTCGGACAACGCGTTGCAAATGAAGACTCAACGCCAACAATCGATGGTCGGTTCTATGTTGAAACAGCAAACACGAGCTAAAGATCAGAAAATCAGGAAGTGGCTTCAAGTTCAAAATTCCGACAACGGTCAGACAATAAATGCAGTATCGGAACCCTTGCAGACATTCGACAAAGCACCGAATAGCCTGGAGGATTAAAAGAATCGAGAATAGAAGCCATTCCAAGGTCCCGTTACACCGATTGAAGGTTGGGACAATCATATCCAAAGTATTCCAGACTCTTCTATAAAAGAATGAGGCTGAAAAACTTTGGAGGGGGTATCTGTAGGCGTATAAAACTGCTTATAGGTCCCTTAACACAGCTCGGCACGGTGATTCGACAAACCAACGAACCATCGGGCGGTATATCCAAACATGATCGTTAGACCACAACACCGAAGCCAAGTGACACGCGATGAAGCGGATTAATGAGGCGACAAGGTTAACGAACCGCACGCAAACAACGGAATACATCCAATCGCGTGCCCAATCAAGCTAACGGGTCGATGAATCAACGAGTCATCCAACCGCAGAGTCCACCGCATCAAACAAGATCGGGAGCG